AGACTTATTCCTCAAAATTGCGTGTGGGGGTTCAGAACCAGGGGGTATTTGTTTCCTAGAGTTGGTGTAACAAATTGCCATGAACTTGCTGGCCTTTAACAACAGAAATTTATTCTCTCACAGTTCTCAGGGCTGGAAGTCCAAAATCAAGGTGTTGACAGGGTCACACTTCTCCCTGAAGTCTCTAGGGAAGGCACTTTCTTTGTCTCTTCTAGCTTCTGGTGGCTGCTACGTTCCTTGGGTTTGTGGCTATGTTCCTCCAACCCCTGCTTCATCTTCACATGGCCTTCTCCCCTGTGTTTCTGTGTATGTCTCAAACTCCCTCTGCATCCACTGATAAGGCCCACCCTGACAAATGGCCCATATATAAAGCCCACCCATCCAGGATGGTCTCATCTCAAGATCCTTAATCACATCCATAAAGACTATTTCCAAATAAAGTCACATTCACAGGTGCTGTGGATTAGGACCTGGATATATCTTTGGGGGGCCACTATTCACTAAAGGGGGCTAAGTCAGATTGATAAATGTTTATAAGAGGTTAGGAGCCCTGGCAAAACTATCTTCAATTTATCATTTGGTTTAATGTTAGGCCATACCGATTTAAAATCAGAAAAAAAGCTAAGTAACTTCTCAGAATGCTTTATGGGCTCCATGGGATAGAGGAGATTTAGAAGACAAACCCAGGCTAGTGGAAGGAGAAGAAATGAGCCCAGAGAGGAATCTGTTCACAAATTAATAAGGAAACAAATGAATTAAAAAAGTAGAACAAAGTAGCGAGAAAGCTTTGGTTTCACATGAGAAAGAAATGAAAAAAAGAGAAACAGAAGTGCCATTGACAACTGTGATGAAGTATGGAATAAAGGCTTGACAATATAAAATGGAAAATGAGGAAAGTTATAGTCAAGGAAATATCAAACCAAGGCTATACCTATAAAATAAAAATTTATGGACTTGAATATGAGCCCTTTAAAAAGGATCTTTAAATTGCTTCAGGAAATATTTCTTCTTCTTCCAATTGTATCTGGTGGACTCTGACAAGACCGAGACTGCCTAAAGACACATTTCCACCAATTACTAACTAACCTTTAAACTCTGACTTTTTGGGCTTACTCACCATTATGCACATGGCCCAGAGTAGTTCTTGAGCAAGTATTATGTTCTGGTATAATGCAAATTCTTTGGAAAATCTAATCGATTTTGCTCAATTCTTTAAGCAGACCACACAAGTCATAGATTACTGGCCATCAAATTAGACACTGCCTTTGGGTTGGCCATTGATTCCTCGCTTCATTTCAGGCCAGGAGAAAGTTAAACTGAGGGGTGTCATGGTATGCTGATCTGTCCCTTCCTGGGTCATGGCTGGAATAGACACAAAGATACACATGTACTAATCAGATAAGCAAAGCAGTGCAATGAAACAGTGTCCATGCTCTGATGCAGCGTGGGTGGTTGAAGTCATGGGCACCCAGGGATTGACACTTAGAGGCTGAGTGCTGCTCAACAGTGGGAAGGCACAGGGAGAGGTTGAGTGGTGTTGGGAAGGCAATCAGGAATTCTAAATGCAATATACACACAGACTCCATTAGGGACCCACACCACACCACATCTAAGACAACTAGACTGAGTGATGATCACTCCAGTGATTATATCAAAACCTTGTGCTAGTCTCAGATAACAAGCCAACTGGAACCAAGCATAAGACTCAAGTTCTATTTAATCATCTTGTCTGAGGGGTGAAGCAATATTTCCCCATCTCAGTTCTTTAACTGGAAAGCTGGCACCACACACTGAGTTGTTAAACTAGCAAGTATGCCAGCACTTTCATTTATTAATTGGTAGGTTCCATTTTAATTAAAATCATCCTAGCTAATTACTCATTCCACTGTGTGCAACGCCAGCTGAAGAAGCTGGAGGACATGATGAAGGCAAAAATAAACTCTGTTCTCCCTCAAAATTATTAAGTTTATATTGTTTTCCCTTTCATATGTGGGGAATCAAGGGAAACATAAATTTAACCTTTTATTCTTGCCTCTATCCGATGAAATGAGCCTCATCTGGGAGTAAGTGGGAAGTAGCAAAAAAATTATAGGTTCCAAAATTCATACATGTGGGTTTCGATGGGCTCTTTCATTTATGAACCGTGTGACCATGGGGAAAATATTTAACTTCTCTGATCCTCAAAATTTCCTAAGAATGGGAATAAGACTAATACTCACTGCAGATTTGGTATGAGGGTTAAATGAGTAAGCAAAATCAAAGGCCAGTATATAACAAGTGCTTAATCAATGTTAGTGCCCATCATCACCTCCACCATTCCATTCACTCAGGTAGCATCTCCCTATCTAGCAAGGCTCAGCTCAGCCACCATCTCCCTGGGATGGCTTCCCTGAGTCCCAAGTCTGAGTCATGTGTCCCTTCTCTCTGTGTCTGCATGTTTATTCCTATCACAAGACTGTATGTGAATCTTCAATCTACTTGTGGGCTGAACTGGTGCATGTATCCCCTTAATGAGTGATTATAAGATTCAAATAAAAATAGTATTTTTCTAGCATATAGTATAATTTCAAATGGCTACCAAGTTAGTAGGACATGAACACTTACTAAATTGTTTGGATGTGGGACACCTGGGTAGTTCAGCGTTTGGGCGTCTGCCTTTGGCTCACGGTGTGATTCCAGGTGTTGGGATCAAGTACCGCATTAGGCTTCCTGTGAGGAGCCTGCTTCTCCCTCTGTCTATATCTCTGCCTCTCTCTGTGTGTGTATCTAATGAATGAGTAAATAAAGTCTTTTTTAAAAATTTTAAAAATAAAATAAATTGTTTGGATGTAACAATACAACAAACGAAATTATTCTTTTGGCCTACATGTACCGTGAAAAAATTACTGAGATGTCAAGGGTGCTCACTGTGAACCAAGAAAGCTCAGGAATCTCTGGCATAAGGAAATGATGATGTGTGAACCAGAGAAATGATAATACTTAATATTATTATCATATAATCTTGCAGTTATAATGATGCTACAACTACCAGCTAACAGGTAACTGAGCCCTTTCTCCTTCCTAGGCATTATTCTGAGCATTTAGTTGTGCTTTCAGTAAAGGGGCCAGGTGTATTCACTCTTTTAATCCCTTAAACAAACAAAAAGTTTCTTTCTCCCACTTACAAAAGAGGAAACTGAGGCTCGTAGACAATGAGTCGCTTGCTAAAGGTCACCAAACGGGCTGATGCTGGAGCTGGGATTCAAATGTTGGCATGCTGACTCTCAGGATCACGGCTCTTAACCACCTGCTTACCGAGGCTGGCAGGGATGCAAAGAAGGAGACCTAGCTGAGCTGGCTGGATGGCACAGTCTACAGAATTTAGGTATAGACTTTAGGGATGGAGACAGCAAATGTTTTGGGATGTTCGCCTAGCCCACTTTCTTCAGAAATGCTCCTCCTCACAGCCTGCTGACTCTGGGGACTCCGGGTGCATTTGCGGTCCCGAACCCTACCCTTGACCACATCCACCGGTTACTGGGAAGCTGCCAGGTGACCCAAGCTAGGCTAAGTGAAGCTTCCTCCAAGGACCTGGAGACTGACACACTGAGCTTCTGTTGCTTTTCTATGCCCGTATCAATCAACTCAAATGGATGGTTATTCTCACAGTAATGACAGGATGGAACACAGAAGGTTTACAACTTCTTGCTTTTGAGGTAGCTAGCTGAGGTTGCTCCTTCCCCATTGCTGATGTGTTCAGTGGTTTTGCAGACTCCCTGAGAGCCGTACCCTGCCAATAACTTCTTTTATTTGAGCCAGATTTGCTAGACTTCTGTTCCTTTTAACCAAAGGATGTTTAACTGGAACCCTGAACAGAAATGTCCTAAAACACATAAAATATAGAAAATACATCAAAAAAGGGTGTGTGGGGAAGGCAATACCTCCATTGCTAAATATTTATCCCCTTAAATTGGGTTGCCACGAGTTCATTCAGACTGTAGACTTCGGCTGAGCCAACTCCTCTTAGAAACCATGCAGGTCTGAGTTCACAGAAACAAACAGTTCAGAAAGGTGGCTTTTGGCACTGCCAGAGAGGTCAACAATCTACCAGGCAATTATACTGCTGTCAGATTGTAAATACACATTTGCAAATGCTTCTATAATTGCTCGGAAACAGTTTAGGCCTGTTCATGCAGGGCCAGTTACTGAATGTTAATGGAGAAGCTTATCCAACATCTGCTTTCAAGGTTGGAGACAGATCTGTGCCATTTCCATGCTTATGGGTGCAAAGCAGCATATCGGGTGTTTTTCTTCTGCCAACCGATTGATTTGTTTGGTCTAGGCAATCACATTTTCAGCTATACCAGAATCTTCCTAAAACTGGTTTGGCTTTCTAAAACTCTGGTAACTGTCAGTAAGATAGGAAATTGCCACCACGGACTTGAGGTCATGTTGCTTCATGCACTGGTTTCTCTGACCTTGTGCAGGATGGTTAATATGACAATTGAACAAAGAAATTCTTGCTAACTAGAGGGCATGATGTATGGAGATGTCCACATAAGAGTGGTAGATCTCAAGGCACGCAATTCAGAACGTTTGTCTTTTTGACTTTTGACTTAGGGCTTGTGCTCAAAACCAGTGTTTTTCTGCTTTCATCATCTTAAGACAGAGAACATTGTCTCTCCCAATTGGTGGGCATGTGGGCCTCTTAAATTCCTTTGTTTCAGTTGCTCCAGATGATGACTGCTAAACCTACCAACACCCATGGGTGTCTTGTGCATGTCACAGACACATGTGTTAAATGTCAGAATCATCCCAAATTCTAATTGCTGGCAACACTTCAAGTTTTGGTAAATAGCCAACTAGCCATTTTCAAGTGTTATGGTTTATTATTTAGCAGAGCTGTTGCTCTGCTCTAATAAAATGACTCCAAATAACGGTGGCAGAAAAGTGACAGAATTTTATTCTTCTCTCACATAACAAGGCCAAGTGAACAATGCAGGGTGGCAGTTTGCTTTACTCCAGAGTCATTTAGAAATCCAAACTCCTACCACCTTTGGGTCCTGCCATCCCCCTAGGAATTGTCCTCACTTGTACGGTCAAGGCTGGTTTGCAGATAAATCCATGTTGCAGCTCCTGGAAAGGGGAGAGGCTTATCTCTTCACTTAGAGATGACCTGCAAGACCAAATTTTACTCACATCCCATTGGCCCAAATTAAGTTCCAGAGACACATTTAACTGCAGGGGATCCTGGGTAATGCAGTTTCTTCCTAGGGAGATAGGAGCTTAGCTTCGACTCTACTGCCAGGGAGGAAAAGGTGGATAGATCCTAATGGCCAGCCAGAAGTTTCTAGTCACATGTAACAACAGACAGAAAGAGATATTACCTCTCATGAATAAAATAAATGCCACAGGGTCATTCATATATCCAGCAAATATTTATTAAGTGCCTACTTTGTGCCAGATACCTTTCCTTACATGTGTAGAACAAATACTGACATGTTGTGGGTGAAATGATGCAACACTATGAACACATTTTTCCACTTTTGAAAGACTTTTTGCTCTTTCAGCTAATACAGGGCAAGTAGGGAAAAAGTCAAAGTTTTTGGTCTTCATATTGCAGGAAAAAGAGCTGCACCTGTCAAATTCCAATAGCTTGCATTGTTGTTGTTCTTCTGGATCAGCACCCATAAAATCCTCTTAGTTATTTGGGTGGTGGTCTCACAAATCACAACTTGCTTGTAGCATGTTTATGAAGTTTCAGGAAATTCTCTTCAGAGGATGAAATTAGGTCATTGAGATTAAACTCCATTTCAAAGATGGGTTTTCTCCCCAAAATAATTAAGGCAAGGAACAGGGCTAGTTTTGCAGTTATTCCCTTGACATGGTAAGTGACACCATCTTCAGGGTTTGTGTACTCAAAGCAATGAATAACAACATGATGATCACTATATGTCAGGTAGCTCTGGTAGTAGACATGCGGATGTAGGAAATATTCTAGAGGCACCAAAAACACACTCTTAACTTCATCGGGATTAGGCTGGGCCTGGAAGTTGTGGTCTATAAATCCTACAACCGGGGTTATCAATGTATCTCTCTGAAAGCAGAAAACAAAATATGCAGATTAAGAAAACAGTGTAGTCAATTACACAAGGTGGGTAGGGAAGGAGCAAGAATTTGCTCCAGAGGTGAACGTCATATCCCCTTTGAAATGGGGGTAGTCTCACCCCTACCTGAGGCAGTGTCTATGAGACAAATCTGAAAATGGTATCTTTTGTGAACATACTGGTATAATCTTTTGGAAGGGCAATCTGACAATATTATAAAAACATGGTCCCTTAGACCTAGCAACTGCATTTGTGTAAATATATCTGTATGATAAATTTCTACCAGTGAGAAAAGATACAAGACTGAAGCATCATTTGCAATAGTCCCAAACTATAAAGTTATCACTCCTCCACTGATGGACATTCAGGGTCGGTCAGTTATGAGTGTATCTACAGGATACTCTGCGGCCCTCAGAATGCATGGGATAGACACCTTTCCCCATCAGTACAGATAAGGATGTGCCATCTTATTAATAGAAAAGTGACAATATTAACTGTGTCATATACCCAATTATGGGAAACTACATTTATCATTATATATTAACTATTTTACATAACAGATGTTTATATGTGGAGAAGGATTTCTATTTATAACCACAATTGCTTGCAAATGAATGCAGGGTATTGTTAAGTGAAAGACCTGCTGGGAAATCTCCAGGGTGAGGCCTGGGGTTTAGTGTAGGAGCTGCATCATAAGAGAAGAGCTGCATAAGCTTGAAATGGAAAGTGAGAAGAATCTGGTGTTAGGTGCAGGGTGGACATTCCAAAAGAAAGTGGCTGGGAAAAGCCAGGGATACCTTGTGAGGCTGGGATATTAGAGAAGGATAAAGAGGTCCATGGAAAATTCTCAGGGGTGTGACAGCTGGAGCATGTTTAAGAGCAGTAATGAGTCAGACCATTAACTGAATTCATGGTGAAAGTCAGTATCTGCACCAGGAGTAGTAGACTTTAGCTGTCCTTGGGGTGGGAGATCTGGGATCCTAAGGGGCCCCGAGGCAGAAACAGCATTCTATCATCAGTGAACAACACATGGCCCTGGGTGAATGCTTGGCCTCTTTGGCCACAGGTTCCCCAGAAGCAGTCTCTGGGAGGTGGGGAACACTCAGATGCAAGTGATTTCTTAAGGAAGCGCTCCCAGGACAAAGCCTGAGGTAGGGAGGAGGCCAGGCGAGGGCGAGGGTGCTGCGGGGCATCCAGGTATAAAGCACGGTGCAGAGCTAGGCTGTCATGCCCCTCAGCCCAGTCACTGGTGAAGGCCTGCTCAGCCAAGACCATTCTCAGGCCCTCCAGGCTCTCAGTGAGCAAGGAAGGGTGGAAAGCTGCAGGTGAGAACTTTCAGAAACACAATAAGAGGGATATGGCTTCTGAACAGAACCTGCAGTGTTCGTTCAACATGCATTTGTGGTTGCTATCACCATGAAGTGACCTACAGGTTCTGGGGCCCTGTCTAGTACCCAGTACCCTCTCCCTGCTTCTTCACAACATGTCTGAACTTGAAGAAGCTCTAACAGCAGACTTGAGGTAACCTACTCAAGGTCACGGCCACGTAAGACTTGGTAGAAACCAGGATTCACCGGCTGCTGTCCACATGCTAGAGCATAGTGCTTAAGTGCTGTGAAGACACAAATGTCGTCATATCTCAGAGATGACACACCAGCCTTGCACATGGCTTACATACTGCAGTGGAGAGTTCTCAGCTGCAGCTCGGATTCAAGCTCTTCCTGAGGGCTGAGCTAGGAGCACAAACTCACCCTTACTGGAAGGGCCAAACTGCTAGGCACAGGTATGGACAAGCAACTTAGCGTGGCAGTGCTGGCCCTTGGACTCGCATGTCTGAGTCTAAGGAAATAACTGGTGTGTGTGTGGTGGGGGGGCGGGGATCAAAGCCACAAAGGGAGGTAATGTTGTTATACTGAATGTTTCTGCTGGGAAGTCAGGCATGTTCAACAGGGCTCTAGCTTAGAAAGTCAGAAAGACTTTGGAAATCTGTGGATGAACCAGAATCTCTGGACACATAGTTCCCAAAACACAGGTGTCTGCCTTAGAAGGAAAAAAGGATGGTGCGTGCACAGCAGACATGCTAAGACAAAGGAAAGACTGCATTTTGACCACTTGCTGAGCTGAAATCCCATGGAGACTGTCTCCTGCTGTGGCAGCAGGGATAAGGCATGTTTCCAGGCTCCTGGAAGAAGCCACAGGCACTTAGAAACATTCCCGGGAAAGGAAATGCCACTGAAAGGCACCGAAATGCTTACCAGAGCTGAAGCTGCAGAGGTGGTAAAGTGAAGGAGAATGCGTGGAAATGTATGGGTTTGTGGCTTCTAAAGAGAAAAGGGAGAAATGTCTCCCAAGGCTGTTGCAAAGAGAAGCACATACATGTATGGCAGGACACCTGGGGTGGGCTTGGGCTTGGAGGGTCATAGCCTGCCTTGGAGGATTAATGAAGGAGGTGGGAAACAGCCAACAGCACTCCCTCTAGCTCTGACTCCCAAAAACACCTCCAGACATTGCCATGTACCCCGGGGTCAAAATCAGCTCTAAGTAAGAATCACTGAGTTAGATTCTGCTGGTGTTTAATAAATGGTAGTTTTACACTACATTTAAAAGATTTGCAAGGTCCCAAAGAACAAAACAACCCTCGCCAGCACTTCCAAACACAGGACATCTTTCTTGAAAGCCTTTGTTCGTCCTAATTTCTTAACAATGTGATTGGCATTATTATATCAAGAGGAGGTCATTTTAGAAATCTCTGGCTTTAGGAGCATCTGGCCCACCGAAATCTCCTGAAGACCCAACATTCTCCTGTGAAGACAGTCGTATTCTTACCCCTCATAGGAAGAACTCAGTAGCTCCCAAGAGCCTTGGAAACTGAGTTACTCTCACTTTGGGAACTTTTTTTTACCATTAGGGTTCAATCTGTCAATAGAGTTTTAAAATAAATCCCCCCTTTAGGCTGGGGGATTTGTAGATGTTGAGTGGAAGGGGTTCCCATTAGAAAATTTAGTTGCCTAGGAAGTAATTGATACATTTCTTGTCCTAATCCCATGCTTTCCCCTCTCATTTAGGAAGCATTTATTTGGGAGGCCATTAACTTCTTCTGAACAAAATCTCCCTTGAGTGGTGACCTTTCTGTTTTCAAAATGGGCCTGATTAAGATCGATGTCTCAGCATCACTGATCGTCACAAGACTGTACCACCGAGACTTTAAGCCAAATGGAACATAAAGGATGGTCTGACTCACTGTTTTTCTCATTGTTATGCATCAGTGGGACTCTCCTCCTGAAATGAAAATGTACCTGAAAACCCAATGTATATAAAGCACACAGTTTATACCTACCTTCAATATGGGATTAGAGCACTTCACCTCTGTGGTAGTCTTCTCCCAAACCCATAACCCTAGCTTAACCAAGGAAAATATCAGGTAAATCCAAATGGAGAGGCATTCTACAACATACCTGAGCCGTGCACCTCAGAAGTGTCAAGGTCATGAGAATAAGGAAAGTCTGAGACACTGTCACAGACCAGAGACTAAAGAGCCATGACAACCAAAAACACTATGGTATCCTAGATGAGATCCAGGACAGAAAAGAGGACATTAGTAGAAAAATTAGTAGAAGGCAAATAAAGTCTGGAGTTTAGGTAATAACAGTGTATTAACATTGGTTTCTTAGTTGTAACTAACATACACCAGTGATGTAAGATGTTGACAATGGGAGGAACTGGGTGCGGGATACATGAACCCTCCATAGTATCTTTGCAAGTTTTCTGTAAATCTGTAACTATGCTAACATTACAAGTTTATATTAGAAATTTTAAACCAATAAAATAATGCTGTCATCCAAGTACAAATTTACAACATTTACTCCTTCTAAAGTCCATTAATGCAACAGTTGAAAGTTCATGTGCAGTAAGATCTGGGTATATCAGCTCCAGAATTCATTTTACTGCTTTCATGTTTGTTTTTTTATGTACACAATCAAGGAAGTCCTGATTCACACAGAAATGTAGTTACAAATAGTAATAGTTCTTAAACAGCTTGCCTAGTGATCTCAGCGTACTTCTCTATTAATGTGATATGGATAAGCTTGATTCCATGGTATGTATAAAAATATGTATATTTAGGACAAAGGTAAGACACTAGTGGCTTCCAAGAGGCTAAAGTTTGGAACACAGCATGCTCAAGGGCATGATTATTTTTTCAACTGAATTCTCAAAAAAAATGTATACTGACAAAAAAAAAGTGTAAATTGAATGTTAAAGAAAGAATCCTGAAGCACCTGCAGGATTCTAGAGATCCACTTTCAGAGATGGAGTTCGAACCTTTCATTTCTGGATGGGCAAAGAGGGGCTCCAAAGGGAAAGGGGGCTTGCCCAAGGCCACTTGACTGACAAGGGGCAGAGTCTACATGAGAATCTGTCTCTGGGCTCCATCTGTCAAGGGTCATGCTTGCCCATACACGGAATGCTGACAATCATGGATCCACCAGGGGCTCATGACAGTGTAAGCAATCCAGTTCCACTCTACCACTTACGTCAAACAGATACGGCACCAGGCAGCAGACAACATCCACCTGATGAGGATGTAGCCCTACTTCTTCCTGGGCTTCCCGGAGAGCTGTGGCCACATCATCCACATCTGTAGGTTCACATTTGCCTCCGGGGAAACAAACTTCTCCAGGTGACCTTCTTAGCTGGATAGTGAAAGAACAGAGCTGTGATGCAGGATTCCAGTTGACTCATTCAACAAGTATTTACTGACTTATTTTGTGCCAGAGACCACTCCCACACTGGGGGTATAAGGGGGGGAATAAGAACACCCCCTCCCCAAAAAAGTTTTTACTTGAATCCTTTTTAAAAATGAGCTTTGAGAACTTCCTTCACTTGTAATTTTTTTCTACTTGCCCCTAAAAGATACCAAGCACACGAAACAGATCTATGCTTAATGGGGGGGAGGTGGGAGCCAAAAGGAAGTAAAATAAAAAGGGCAATGTTATCAATAGACAGCCTTTACTGGGTGCTTACCCTGCTCCAGGCATGCTTCTTCACAAGAAGCTTTTCCACTTAGCCCTTAGAACAGGTCCATATGCTGTTATTTTTTAAAAGCATTTATTTTTTAATTGAGGTGAAATTTATATAACATAAAATGAACCATATGTTTAATTTTTTAGAGAGACAGAGTGTGAGCAGCAGGCGGACAGGGAGAGCAGAGGAAGAAGGAGAGAATCTTAAGTAGACTCTGCTGAGCTCAAAGCCTGACAAAGGGGCTCCATCTCATGACCCTGAGATCACAACTTGAGTCAAAATCAAGAGACAGATACTTTACTGACTGAGCCACCCAGGTGCCCCTAAAATGAACCATTTTAAAGTGAACCACTCGGGATCCCTGGGTGGCGCAGCGGTTTGGCGCCTGCCTTTGGCCCAGGGCGCGATCCTGGAGACCCGGGATCGAATCCCACATCGGGCTCCCGGTGCATGGAGCCTGCTTCTCCCTCTCCCTCTGCCTCTCTCTCTCTCTCTCTCTCTGTGACTATCATAAATAAATAAAAAAAAAATAAAGTGAGCCACTCAGTGACATTTAATGCATTCATGATGCTGTATGACCACTACCACTGTCTAGTTCCAGAACATCTTCTTCACCCTGTACTTGCTCCCCAACCTCCCGCTTCCTTGCCCCTACTTTCTATCTCTATGGATTTACCTATGCCATGTATATCATGTATTTGTTATCCATCCATCCATTGATGGATATAGAAGCTACTATTATACTATTACCATTTCCTCTTTTGACAAGGGAATTGAAGCTCAAAAGAGTTAAAAACAAAAAAACAAAATAAAACAAAACCTGACCAGCATCACACAAGGATTATATATGTAGTAGAGCCAGAATGTACACCAGTGTTTTAACTCTCCATCCCATGCTCTGAACCAGCATACCACACATGTATTAAGGCCTACTAAAAGGCAGGTGTGACCACTTGAGCCATTAGCATGGACACATCGGCACTTCTGTATCTCTGTGGAAAAGAAGTCTCTTCTCCCTACACTGCCCCTTCCATATCCACTCTTGATTCCATGCCTTCCTGACTTTAGAAGAACTGTGGCTCCATTTGTAGCATCCTCCATCTTTGGGTTGGGTTACAAAAAATATAACCCAACTTTATTGACTTCACTCCTGCCTGGTGCCCACCATCCTTTCTATTGAACTGCCATAAGGCCTCAGGCTCCACAGGAGTCCAGGTCGTCCTCTTCTCAATGGGACGACACAGGGGTAATGTCCCTGTATATCTCCCAAGGTCACAGAGCCAGTCACATAGGCTGATGGCTGAAGTTCATGGCACAGGGTCTGGCCAATGTGAAATATTTATTAATGAGACCTTATAAGGTCAGTTCTTGATGTTTAGAAGCTAAATCAAGAGATCTCACTGGCATTTTTAGCACCAGGGCCAATATATCTATGTAAGAATAAACTAGATGCTGTTATAAATTCTGTAGTGCTCTAGAATTTAAAGTCCCATTTAAGCAAGCTTTTTTAAAAAAACAAAAGATAACATTTTAAAGTAACTCTCTGCTAATGTATCAAGAACACTGCAGGAATTGCTACAGGACATAGGAATCACACACATCTTCACATCAATTACAGTTACGAGAGTTGGTGAAAACAAGGTTGAGGGATATGTTTCTACAATCTCGACTACTGACTACCCAAATGTTTAAGAAACAAACCTACTGTTACATCACCTCTGAAAAAAAGTATTCTATTGTGGTAGCACATGGAGCACCAGAGCATTCGTGGCAGAAGGCACCTACGGGGAGTCACCAGGCCCGACAGAAATACAGACCTGATGGGATGGCTATTTCAAATACTATTAAGAAAATGCTATGCTGTTTCGAAGAAAATAGACCCATTCATAAAAGTGATTATTCATAACTGTCAGTGCCAAAAAGGGCCCCAAGTACAGACGTTTTTAATCTTTCTTTTTAACGGCATAAGAATTTTTATTAAATAAAACCTTTATGGAAATCTATTTAGAAGCCAGTAAGGTTGTAGGCTAATTTCCCAAAACTTTAATCTATGTTTTGTTCTTGCATTTTCTTTTGCCTGTTTCAAGCCCTAGCAAGCTGGGGGGAGAGGGAGGAAAGGAAGGACAAGTAGAATGGGGGAGGGGAGGGGAGGGGAGAGAAGAGGAGGGTAGGGTAGGGTAGGGTAGGGGAGAGGAGAGGAGAGGAGAGGAGAGGAGAGGAGAGGAGAGGAGAGAAGAGAGGGAGATTCTTTACCCTCATATCATTAGGCACTGTTTTCAATCCCATTTTAGGAATGAGAAAACAGAGACTCATAGAGATTAAAAACTTTGTTCTAGGTTCCAGAGCTGGTAGGAGAGCCCATGCTAAAGCAGGAGGGATTGGGGACAGGCACCCTTTCTCTACTTGTGCGACTCCAGGGAGCTGTGCAGCTCCAGTAAAGCCTGGGAGGGAATTTCTTGCCCCTAGAATAAGACAGGGGTAGAATCAGATCTAATTAGATTTAAATACTTTTTTTTAATTAATTAATTTAAAAAGTTTTTTTTAATATATTTTTTTTAAATGTGATCTTTGCACACCAGAGTTTATAGTGTAAGATGATTCTCACATAATAATCAACAGGCAAAGCTCTCTGGATGAAGTAGTAACCTGAGATCCACTTTGGTCTTGCCTCAATTGTCTACATTATTATTTGTCTGATGGTTCGAAAAATATATTGAAGTCCTTCTCCTCTGCTCTTTGGCAAAACTGAGAACAGACCCAGGTCCCCTGGCTCCCAGCTAGGTATCTCCAGTTGGAATCTGGACTTTCTTACCTCCTGTGTTTATGTGATTGTTACCTGACCCAAACCCAAAAGAATCCACATGAGTCGGATCTCAAACCCACAAAACTTCAGCTGATTCCTCAGCTTTCTTTTCCCCCGAGAGGATACTATTCATTGTTCTGCTTTGAAGCCATGCCGTATGGCTCAGTTTCATTTTTGGTACTTGGATAACTTTGAAGTTACTGCTTCCCCAACTTTTCCTCAGAAGCACCCCAACAGCAAAGGAGAATGACTATATCCAGGGGTGTACCCAGGGAAGCTCCATTCCCAGCCCAACATTTCTTTAAAGTTAGAATAGTTTATCTGAAAACCTCAGGCCATGTCTGCCAACAGCAATAGTGATGGCAGCTGAAGCTTACTGCATCCTTGCCATGTGCTGGGGCCAGTTTAGTTGCTTTGCATTTGTTTCCCTGGAAAATCCTCATAGTAGCCTTATGAAGCAAGTGCTAGTGTTTTGTCTGCATTTTGCAGGTAAGGAGACTGCAGCACAGAGAGGGCAAGTAATTAGAACAAAATCACAGAGCTGGCAAGGAGTGAGCCTGTATTCAAACACAGGCAGCCAGCTTCAGGGCCTAGGCTGTTAATTTCTGTGCTCTAGAATTTTCATATTATAACCCAGGTGGGAGTCTAAAACAGTGGCTGTTGGCGGCAGCAGTTGTACCCATCCCCCACCCCTGCCAGGACAGGGATGTCTGGAGACCCCTGTGGTTGTCACAAAGGGTGTGTGTGTGTGTGTGTGTGTGTGTGTGTATTACTGGCACCTAGTGGGTAAAGCCCAGGGTGATGCTAAACATCTCATTATGCACAGAATAGCTCACACAACAAAAAAAATTATCCAGCCCAAATGCCAATAGCACCAAGATTAAGAGACCCTGGTCTAAAAGTATTTCAAATTACTTGCTAGCTAAATTACTTATTTTTAAAAAAACTTCTCCAAAAAATGCCTTGTTATCCTGTGACTTCTTATACTCCTGAACATCACAATCTTGAAAGTCCATTTGAGAATGCATGGTCTCAAAATGTGTGCAAGTGACAAATTGTTGTGGGGTTTTCAAATGTCCTGGAACTTGAATGGCAGGCGTCTTTTTGTCACCTACCTTCTCTGACCGGAGGGTGAACAACAGGTAGAGTTTTCCTTCTTTTACCAACAATGGTAAAAGGACAGAGAATTTGTTAGACGCCAAGTGAGAATATTTGGTCCCAACATCATGCTTTTTTAAGCGAGCCTTAGCTTCATCTATCAAACTGTGTCTAAAATGGAAACAAACCAAATATTTTAGTAACCAGAGTTATGATAAAAAGCTCCTAGTCCTGACTATGTTTCTGTTTCATTGTGTATCTTGGAGCTTACCATTTCTGACTCTCATTGTATTTTCCAGGAACACAGCAGAAATAACAACACACAAGTCACATGACTGTTGGCAAGATGAGCAAAAAAAAAAAAAAAAAAAAACAAAAAACAAAAAAAACTAGGAATACAGTTTAGTACACAAGTTCACTTTGAAACTTAAATAGAAATTATGGTAAAATATTCTTTCAACAATGCCCTAGTTAAATGTTGAATTCTTAATTATATTCCAGTAAGGCAGTGTTGGTAAACAAGTCATTGTAAGGTTAGACAACTGTCAGGTTAAGGACTTTCTCTTATATTAGCAAACCCTTTGGTCTTCAATTGCCTTGTAACAGTGGTTCCCAAACTTTAGTGGCAACAGATTCACCCAGAGGGCTGGGCCCCCCCCCAAAACTGTGACTCAGGAAGTTTGGGGTGGGGCCTGGAAGTTAGCATCAAACTCCCAAGCAATAGTGATGCTGATCCTATGGACCAGGGTAACCCACTTTGAGGACAATGTGCAAAGTATCTGGATTTATAACAAACACTGGGTGCCCTGAGTTCATGACCCTGAATGTTTTGGTCCTTTCGACTGGTGTCTTTTGTGGCTGGTTTGTGTAGTAGTTTAAATAGTGTCTCCCAAAATTCATGTCACCCAGAAGGCTCAGAATGTGACTTTATTTGGAAATAGTATCTTTGCAGATGTAGTTATGGATCTTGAGGTGAAATCATCCTGGATTTAGGGTGGGCTCTAAATCCAATGATTAGCAACCTTGTAAAAAGGAGAGGTCATAGACACACACATAGGGAAGAGGGCAAGGTGAAGACACAGAGACTGGAGTGATGTTGCCACAAGCTCAGGAACGTTAAGATCCATCAGAAGTTGCAAGAGGCAGGAAATTTCGGATGTCCAGCCTTCAGAACATTGGGAGATAAATTTCCGTTGTTTTAAGCCATCAAGTTTGTGGTAGTTTGTTATGCCAGGCCTAGAAACTTAACAGTTTGGTTTTAATTTTCCGCTGGGAAAGGCAGTTTTTTACGTCGTGGGCAACATGAGGTATGTAAGTCAAGGCAGCAGCGGTTTCCAAGTGTTTAGGAATGGCCTCCCCAAGCCTTGCTTTCCGCATCTGTGACATGCTTGAAGATATTTGGGAGCCCGGAGTGACGCTGATCGCATACCGTGGCTGGCACCGGCCAGCGCCCAGTGCAACGGCAACTACTGCCATGAATGTCTCCAGCATTAGGTGGCCCTGGAGGGCGTTCTGGAGGGAGCGCATGCCAGGCACGCAGGCCGCCGGAGTACGCACCGGACCAACCTCGGCTTTTAAGAGGCTCTCCCAGAACCAACCAGTGGGGCCAGCAGCGGCGAAAGTGTGTCTGTCCACATTTGGGGCCGGCCCCTGGAATAGCCCCCCACTACACCCCAGCAGCAGGCGCGCTGCATGCGCTCCTCCGGTGCACTTTCCACGCTTCTCTCCCCAGCCTCGCGACGGTCCCGCGAGATGAGGCCTTGCTCGCGGCTCAGGCGGGTCAGGTTAGGTAACCGAGAGACCCAGGGTCACCACCGGGGCCCCGAACCCTGAGCTGCCGCGGCGCGCTCTTGCTTCCCGGCGTCAGGGTCCGCAGCAGCCCTGGGATGAGGAGGGCAGGCATCTGGGCAGGCGGCAGCGCTCTGCCCGTGGGGAATGGGCGCGACCCCGTGAGGCTGGAGGTGAGCCCGCGGGCCGAAGCCCGCCCGCCTCGCGGGGGGAGGTGCAAAGGCGCCAGGGCCCAGCCGGCCAGGTAGGCGGGCGCGCGCTCCGAGCCGGGCTCCGCGGGGCAGGTGCGCTCGGCAGGAAGCCCCGGCAGGGAGGCCCCGCACGGCGCTCCGGTGCTCCGGGTGCCCAGGGCGGGGGAGGTTTTACCTGGCCGGCTCCGGGGACCGACTAGGTCCTGACATCTCGCAGGGAAAAGTTTGCTTTCTGATGGAGACGCCTCGGAAGCGCCCAGCCGGTGGGCATGCGCAGAGCAGCCGCGGCCTGGGGCGGGCGAGGGGCGGGGCCTGGGGCGGGCGAGGGGGCGGGGCGTGGGCGGGGCGTGGGCGGGGAGTGGGCGGGGCCTGCGGGCGCGGGGCGGGGCTTAGGGCCAGGCCCTTCGCGGTTTCTGCCCCGCTTCTTCAGGAGGGAAAAGCATCTGAAGAATTCTGAGGTTGGTCCTTGTTAAAAAAAAAAAAAGAAAAGAAAAGAAAAGAAAAGAAAAAAAAAGGGGAAGAGGAAAGAACGTACAAATGCAGTGCTGGTGAGTTCAGAGGATTTGACACCTGCATTCACTGTTGCTGGGAGGTTAAGTTGGCTCAAGTTTTCTGAGCAGCCGTCTGCGCATCTTTACTATGTGCTAGCAGGGCTCAGATCCCACCTAGCAAAAAGACACGCGGAGCCTACAGACAAGTGGGAGAGAGAGAGGGAGGGAGACATGGATGAAGAAACAAGTGCATAGATAAAGCAGAGGCCTTTAGTCCTTGACGAATATATGAGGGAGAAACAGGGAGAAACGTGGGTGAACCAGGTCAGAGAAGTCTTACCAGAGACCACGGAAATGGGGAGGAAAGCAGCTGTGCTCAGGCTCCCAACAGGAGCTTCTCCTTCTGCCTATGTCTCCACCTCTCTCTCTGTGTCTCTCAGGAATACATAAAATCTGAAAGAAGAAAGAAAAGGAAGGAAGGAAGGAAGGAAGGAAGGAAGGAAGGAAGGAAGGAAGGAAGGAAGGAAGGAGAAAGCAGGTGTGTGTGTGCTCTAGGTGTGGTCCTCAGAGCATGAGCATCATGTGGTGCTGTTAAAAGTGTAGATTCTGGGGCTCACCCCAGAGCTGTTGAGTCAGAAACTGGGGATAGGGCCCAGCAATCTGTGCTGTAAGGGAGTGTGATCATTGGGGAGCTACTCTAAGGTATGTGTGGAAAATAAATAAAGGAAAGAGACAGAGGAGTTACAGGAAGAAGAAGTTTGTGCAAAGACCGCAGAAATGGCTGGAGGAGAGGCAGTTCGAGGGGAGCCTGGTTTGAGCTGATTCTTGTAAGACCCCAGACTTCAAAGACTGAAAGCCAGGTTGACTTCTCCATGGGGCACAGGCTCAGGAGAAGGTACAATGCCTGGGGTCCACAGTAACTTGGGGCTTCACAAAAATGTTCCAACTTATATTCTTTTAAAAATCAAAAGAAGGAACACGTGGGTGGGTGCTCTGTGGTTGAGCGTCTGCCTTTGGCTCAGGTCGTGATCCCGGAGTGCTGGGATCGAGTCCCACATCAGGCTCCCTGCATAGAGCCTGCTTCTCCCTCTGCCCATGTCTCTGCCTCTCTCTGTGTGTCTCTGCCTCTCTCTCTCTCTGTGTCTCTCATGAATAAATAAAAATCTTAAAAAAAATAAAATTAAAAAACATAAAAAGAAGAGGGGCACCTGTGTGGCTTAGTCAGTTAAGCATCTGCCTTCAACTCAGGCTCAGGTCATAATCCCAGGGTCCTGGGATCTGTGGCATGGAGCTCCCTGCTCAGCGAGGAGTCTGCTTCGCCCTCTCCTCTGCCCCTACCTCCCCCCTGGTGCTCTCTCTCTCAAATGAATAAATAATCTTTAAAATCAGAAGAAGAAAATGAATATAATAATAGGCAACATGAAATAATGAATCCAGCCTGAGTTATACCCTTCTTTATATGAATGCAGTCATAAAATAGAATTATTTTATTATCATTTTATGAAGGAAGGGGTCCATAAAAACCTAGTTGCCTGATCTCCATGAAAGTCACACTGTGGCCCTCAATCATGGGACAGCTGAGCTACAGTTCCTAAGACCTTTAAAACTACTCAGGTCTCCGATGTTCACCTGGCCGGTCCTTGGCAAGGCTGGGAGAACCCAAACTAAAAGCTTGATGACATCCAAATAACAATGTTCACGGTACTTTCACCTATATTAGCAAACTTAATTTGAGCAACTGCACAAAGTAGTTATTTCTCTAGAGCTATTACTATCCTCACTTTCCAGATTAGGAAATAACGACGTGTCTTGTGTTATGTCACACTGCTAGGGTTGAAGATTAGCTGGTTCTGACCTCTGTGTTCATTTATTTTGACATCACTTCTCAGAGGCAACTGACCTTTGAATTATGTGAGTCTGGTTATAAATGAGGAGATAAATCAAGCCCCTCATCCAATATCCATTGTGTAGCAACTGCATGCTAGCCATGTCTAAGATGGGGCCCCCTTGATCTCTAAGGGTTCCTGGTCTATTAGGGGTGATAATAAACATGACCCTCAGCTCTCATAATGCACAGTGTGTTCTCAGCTCTATTTGGGAATAGATAGGAGAGTGATTCAGAGGATTAAGTTGAAGTCTGAAAAATCATTGAGGATTTTATTTGCTCTTCTTTTAGATATCCTTTGATTGGATCATTGTGAAGATGAGCACGCTGGAGTGCCTTGCTCATGGTCACACAGAAGGTAAATGGAAGAGCCAGGTTTTGATCTCATCCACTGAGCTACAGCTCTGGCACTCTAGTGGCATTTGAGAGATACGTGGGATTTCAAAAGGCCAAGGTGGGAAGTCGACATTCTGGGCAGAGGAACAGCAGAAGCCAAGCTCGGGTGAAGAGTCTTGTTCAGACGGGGAGGCAGTATAGCACAGTTGGAGCGAAAAGGGACATTTTGCAGAGTGTAGCTCTGGGAAGACATAAAAAGGTTTGGAAGCCAAAGCAAAATGGAAGTTGAACTTCTTCCTAAAGGGAGAGGAATAACAGGTCAGGGTTTCCAAGAAGATCTCTGTGGAAGCAAGATGGGAATGGAATGAAAGTGGGGAGAGACCGGAGGTGATCAGAGGGCTCTTCCAAAAGTCTGGGCCCAAGGAGCAGAAAAAGATGCTTTAAACCTTCAGAAAAATTCACATACTCCCAACATCAGAAAGTCAGAAGGTAACAGGAGTTTGGGTTGCTTTAATGTATAACACAGCATCCCGAGGTGCACCAAGGCTATATGCACAGCATCTTCTTTCAAGATCAGAAATACTGTTGTAAAAAACTCAGTTCTTATGGCTTTTGTAAGGCTGGAAGCCATAGCACAGAGAGCATCACAAGGTGAAATCATAATAAGATTATATATGTATGAGGTGTGTGCATATATCTGCACCTGCGAAACAAAACAGGCTTCAAGGTTAAACTGGCAATGTCTTTTAGGGGGAGTGACTTGTCTCTGTAGTTTTTGCACACAGACTTGTTGGTAGTAACATAATTCTGGAAAACATTTTAAAGAGAAGCAAAGCTGTGACAAGGTTCAGGCCAGTCTGCAAAGCTAACACCTCACTGGTGCAGTTTCCTTAAAGAAGCACATCCCAGGGGGTAGGATGGGCCTTATCTGAAGTCTACCCACCTGGAAACTTTATTTGAGCAGCACCTCATGGCCAGCTGGGGTGGTACAGAGATAAGAAAATACCAGTCAGCCTTCAGGAACAAAGAACATCTGGGGAAAAGACCTATAACAAACAATTAGCCTTAATGCCAGATTAGTGCTTTAATCGTGGAAAAAGGGCTAACTGCTCTGGGGAGCGAGGACCAGCAGCAAATGATGAATTCCCTCTTGGCATAGGCCCTGGGGCCTAGATAGGCTGCGGAGAGCAGGTGAGACACTAGGGAACACATAGCACTGGGCATTATTTTCCTAGGAAATCCAAGTTTCCTCCACTCCCTCAGTTTGCAGGAGGATCTCCAAACTCTTGGAGGGAAGTCATAGGGGAGGGCTTTATTTTTTTAAAAAGATTTTATTTATTTATTCATGATAGAGAGAGAGAGAAGCAGGCTCCATGCTGGGAGCCTGATGCAGGACTCAATCCTGGGACTCCAGGATCGTGCTCTGGGCCAAAGGCAGGCGCTAAGCCACTGAGCCACCCAGGGATCCCCAGGGGAGGGCTTTAGATTAAGTCTCATAGACACATCAGAGTGTACTGGCTACCACTGCTGGGTGGGGCATTTGCCAAGCAGACGCATGCTTCCCCCTCTCACCCTGCGAGCTCACAGCCCCATCCTCCATCAACTCTCCCTCACCCCCAAATCAGATGGAGTTAAGGAGCCATAGCCTTCCCCTCTTTTAAGGAGAGGGAGTTCTTTGAGGACTAGGTTTATTTATTTATTTTTAAGATTTTATTTCTTTATCCATGAGAGACCCACAGAGAGAGACAGAGGCATAGGCAGAGGGAGAAGCAGGCTCCCTGTGGGAACTCCGATGTGGGACTCGATCCCAGAACCCCAAGGTCATGACCCGAGCTAAAGGCAGATGCTCAACCACTGAGCCACCCAGGCATCCCAAGGACTAGGTTTAAAGACGAATTTCTCTATGGGTCAGGGGTCCTCAGCATCAAAGTCATCTGTGGGCAAGGATGCTGCATGGACACCTCAGTGCCCCCAAATCCCACCCCACAGGTCCTTCTCTCAGGGTAAAACTCACCAAGGATCATGCATTTCTGAGCAAGCATTGTGGTGAATTGGCTATGAAGAGATGCCTACATGATGCAGTCCTTGCCTTTTTTTTTTTCTTTCTATTTTTCTTTTTAAGACCCATTGAAAAGAAAAGAGTTTATGAGTTTGGTTCAGTACATTCCCTGGTCAAGTGCCCATTCTTGGCTAGGCATGGAGTTGGATGTTAGAGATACAGAGTTACATAGCAGTTGGTCTTTGCTCTTGAGGGTTTGGTGTCAAATATGGTAGTGAGTAGCTTTAGTCTGCACAAGAATCTCCTGGGGCTGATTAAACATGTATGTTCTTGAGCTGAGGCCTCAGGGATACTGACTCAGGGCCCAAGCATCTGCATTTGTGTCCTAACCTTTGGGCAATTGTGATATAAGTATATGCTTTGAAAGGGGGAGAAGTGGAATTTAAATCTGAAAATAAAATAAAATAAAATAACAAAATAAAATAAAATAAAATAACAAAAATAAAATAAAATAAAATAAAATAGTGGAAATCAGCCTGGCCCAGAAGTCTGGGTAG